GAAAATGTCCAAAGTGCCCCAAATAAATTATATTTCTTAAGAAGATAGAAAAAGAATAACATGTTAAACCCAAAGAAAGTAGTAAAAAATGAAATTTATAATTGATAAGACAGTCACATGGCCACTAAAATTAAGATGTAGAACATTCTTATCTCCCAAAATTTACTTAATATTCCTCTCCCTATTTCAAACCCCTAGTAATCAATGATATGCTTTTTGAACCTATATTTTTACCTTTCAATATGAACTATAAAGAAAATCAATTAATACATAGGTTTTGAGTCTGGCATCTTTTAATTAGCATACTTCATTTTTTCCTCATCCACAGTATCACATGTATCAGTAATTTATTTTTATTGATTAGCAGAATTCCATTTTATGGATCCATCACAGTTTATTATTTCATTGCTAAAATATTTTAATTATTTGCAAATTTTGATGACAATAAAATAAACTACTAGAAATATTCATATATAGCTTTTGGCATAAACATAAATTCACATTTCTTTTGGATAAATACCCTGAGTGGGACTGCTACAAATGTATATAAGATATTGTCAAACTATTTTCCAACATTACTGTAACATTTGGCATTCTCAGCATAAATGTGCTAGTTCCATCTCCTCTATATTATTTTGTATCTTTGCCAATGCTCTGTATTGTCAAACTTTTGTTTTTGCTTTTAGTTTTTGTTTATTTTTTAACTATTCTAATAGACAAACTATGGATTATATAGTAATTTTAATTGGCATGTGCCTAATTACTAATGATATCTAGCATATTTACATGTGTATTTTTCCCATCTGGTTTTCTTTTTTCCTGAAATGTCATTCAAATCATATGCCATGTTTTAATTGAATAAAAATTTTCCTCTTGTGGAGACTTGAGGTAATTTGTATATTCTGGAAGCAAATTCATCAGACACATTTTTTTATTAGAGCTTTATAGTTATACATAGTTGTTGGGTTCATCTCAACAAACTCGTACATGTATGGAATTGGATTTCAGTTCATGATCCCCCTTTTCCTTCCCCTTTTCCCTCCCGTCTCCCTCTCCTCTCTCATACTCCTTCTTCTAGATTTCCTTTTTTCATCTATTTATTTATATATTGTTGGCTCTTTCTACTTATGCATAAAGGTGAAATACCCTGTGGTGTATTTATTTATGTGCAGAACATGATTTTTTAAAAATTTATTCTGCATTGTCTTCCCTTACCAACCCCTCCATTCTGCTTCTTCATCTCTTTCTTCTACATTTTCCCTTTATCTTTATGTTATCCTATTCTTTCTTTCCCCTTTCCTTTATTGTTCTCTAGCTTCTGCATATGAGAGAAAATACTTGACACTTGATTTTCTGAGTTTGGCTTATTTCACTTAGTGTGATGTTCTCCATTTCCATCCATTTATGGAAAATGCCATAATTTCATTCTTGTTTATGGCTGAGTAGAACTTCATCGTGTGTGTGTGTGTG